GTATCTTCGTGCAGTTTCTTATCGCTGGTTAGCACGCTGGATATTTGGATACATGGGATGGGACAATACACGGCCTCTGCCTGCATGCATTTATCATAACGTCCGTGAAAAGTTTATGTCTAACCAGAAGATTGGATATAAAAATGCAGAAGAACGTAACTAATAACATAGATTATCTTTATACAATTAGCTTTTGTTATATTTAATTTCATGCAAGTGTATATAATTCTTTAAGTCATTCTTTGCATAAAGTCTTAGCATGTCCTTTCATCAATTGGCCACATTTTTTGCATGAAGGGGCCTTTCTTTTTGGCAAACGATCAGCTCTGTTGCATGCTTGCTCAGCTACCAAATCTTCTTGGAGTTTGTATTGATCATTTTCTGGTAAGATAAACATTGATTAATAAATTTAGAATAAAAAATGGCAAAATTTTTCATCATACAGTTTTAATGATTAATCAACAAAACTTTAAATGAAAAGGCAAATAAAACATTATTTTCTGGCCAATTAAGTATATTACCTGAAGGGTATAATGGTTGAAATAGTGTTCTCCTTTTTTTATATTCTTTTACAGCCTCTTTCTTACTTTTTGTTCTTTCAAATCTGCTCACCAAGGATGCAGGCATCTTATCAGCATACTTTTTCCAAATCTGGCCAAGTTCTTCTTCGTTTGATTTAAATAAAAGTTCTTTTGTATGCTCAACGTAATCTGTAATAATTTTTTTGAAAATATAAAAGCAATTATTTTGAATATTAAACATAATCTGAAATAATTTCTGTAAAAATGTATAAAACTAATATTTTATCTAATATATTCAAACTAATATCAGTTCTTGAAAAATACAATAGCATTTCTCATCTCCCATTTCTCAGGGCAAAATATGAATTGATTTTCTTTATATGGCAAGATTATGTAGATTATATGTTGTATGCTGTCTACTCACTGTAAGATGGAGGGACTGGAACAGGTTTTACTGCTTCTTCGCCAAGTTTATATTTAGGATAAGAAACTTTGAAATATTCCTTTCCATTTTTGTCTTTTTGTGCTTCCCTGTGCAGGTTTTCGTTGAAATGTGAAACTGCCATTATATGCCTTGGAAAAAATATAACAGTTCTTTGTTGGGTATTTGGATACATTTTCTGTTTGACTCACAAATGAAGTTTAGTTTTATTTTGTTGATACTGATACAAATAAAAATTATACATTTATGTAAAGTAGGCTGTGTTTTTGCTAGGAATGGCATTCAAATACTGTTGCACACGTTGGCACTTTCTTAAACTCTCTAGAAGTACAATTTACAGGAAGCAACAATATCCAAAATTTAAATTTCAGTTATTTACTCAGTGTTGACAAATTTTCTCAGCAATTAATTTTCTTCAAAGATAGCTTGGCAGGTAGTAAAGATAGTATAGTGAAAAACAATACAATGCACAATGCTCAGTAATTTTTAATTAATGATTGGTATCTCTAGTCATAAGTACCTGCACAGAGAGCCAATCCAGGAGTAATGTGTCATCTTTGGGTGCCATTGGTTCAGTGTAGAGTGGTATCCCTCGAGACAGCTGGTTTGTGCATTTGATGACAATTTCGCAATGTCTTGTAGAAGGCTTTGATTCATTAGAATTGGCTGAATCTTGTCATATGCAGTAGTTCCTGTTGAATTACATATATTTAATACTATTATTTTATGTTAGCTGTTAAGGAGAAGTATATGGGAAGTTTAACAATCAGCACAATTGTTTATTTTCTTACGTTTCAAAATTGAAGCAAGACCATTTAGGGAACTTTAAATGGTGTTTGCCTCTCTTTAAAAAAACCATTAAATTATGAAAGGGGCTACATTTTGTATAAAATGCAGTGATTTGACAAAATGATACAAACCATTGAGAATCCATCTACGTTTATGATCTAGTTCTCCGTGTGCACACCTCTGAAACAGTTTGTCTTCGTGGTTGTTGTGCTTGTTCTGGATGTGATTTGAGAAAGCCTTCCATTTTGCGACAATGAGTTTCCCAAAACCTTCCTTTGTCGATGTTGCACACCAGTAGAGGTGGTTGCGGATTGTTGAACACCAGGTACCCAATATCTCACAATTTCTCTCCTTGCTAGCTATTGTTACCTTCTTGGTTAAGGTGCGTGCAACATGCCAAATATCATAATAATGATGGACATGTGGTAAAGACTCCCTTATCCATTTGGCCACTCCTCTGTGTCTGTCTGATATAAAATTGGAGACCTCTATCCCGGCATCATTTAGGTATCCGAAACATCGCTTAGCACCAAGCAACTCCATATTGGAACTACCTTTGCATTCATTTGACTATACAGGAAATAAAATAAAGAGGGTGAAAATGTACATTAGGTTAATTCAAAGTTGAAATTGATGTCAGGTTATTAAACACACAAATATGAAGATACAAGTTTATGGTTGATGACTTATAACAACAGTATTTAATTTTGTCTACAAATAGACACATTTGAAGTCCAATCCAGTGCTTTCTCTTGGTTTTATAAGGTTCAAGACTTGATATTTGACCTTATTAATGATTTTTTAATGCTAGATATTTGATTCCATTTGAAAACAATCTTATTAATTAACTTACTTTAAAAATTAAGATCTATCTGTTTGGCTTTTTTCATGTGGCATGTACCGAATTATTCAAAATAAAGAAAGGAAATTGTTAAGTTTGGGCTTTCTGTAACAAGTCACTAACAAATAAATTAGATTGATAGAAAAAATGGTTTATGATTTTTCCATTACCTGAACCAATTCAAAGTGTATGATTTTTTTTATATTGTCACAATACATCGTGTAAGTGCCATATTTTGCTGAATGCCCCATCGAATCGAATCGACCATCGCCACATAGGACAATGTCTTTAACACCATGAAGCTCAGTCAGCAATGATGCTCTATATAGCTCCCAGTGACGGAGAATTGCAGGGAAAACAAACTTTTTTTGATGACGGAAAAAAGTATGTGCACTGTAAGTGGCAAGGCCGAAGTGTCTGAAAATTAATAGCAGTTTGCTGATTGATGCTCCAGCTGTAAGAGTGCCGAGACTAAGCAAGATGTTACCAGCTGGATAACGACCAAGAACGTATGGTTGTGACCTCCATTTCCAACAGTCTTTCCCACATTCGATGCAACTCTGATAAACAGTTACCATTGTCCCATTCTGCTCCATTCTGACTCCTGGCTTAGTTTTTTTACACTTGAAACAGAGGATTGAAAAGACTTGTAGTAGCATTGTATAAAATACAATAAACTTGGGTTCTTTTTCTGGAGTTGCATTTTGGTCAATTCTGCGATAAAGATACAAAAAAGATATATATTAATGCATTTCCCTGACATTCCCTACATCACATAAAAATGATAATTTTGTCAAAATATTATACAACATATGGAAGGGAAAATAGGACTTTTTGTTATTTGTTGCTTGGCTAATGAAAAATTGGCTCAGCAGAATATGAAGCATTACCTCACTTGTTGCCTCTTTTTATGTGTATCATCATAATCATAATCATCAAAATCAGTCCCATCACTATCTGACATGTCACTAGGAGAACTGTCTGCTTCATCAACTTTCCATTCGCTGTCCTCGTCTTCTGATAAATTTTCATTTGACTCTTCAGCATGAAGTATATCCTCAACAGGAATAGGGTTACCGCTATCTTCCTAGAAAATAACAGATTAATAGATACGACTTATTGTACTAGCATTTCCAAGCCTTCTCAGTGGGATGTGTGTACAGAACCCCCTTCTCTTGGGCATATATCCAGAAAAGGCTCATTGTCCTTGGCTTCAAATTTCTAACTATCACGTTTTTCTAGATGACAGGGTGAAAGCCCACTGACTTTTTGCATATATAGTTTTAACAAATTTACTTTGTGAAAACAGAAATTTAAAAGCTCCTGGAACAGTCTAAAGTCGAGAAATGATGCAGATTTATCTTTAGCTTTACTTACATTCTTTTCGCTGCCTTCCCGTAGTGTCCTTATAACATGTTTTAGCCTGTTGTTCTGACGTCTTAGGTTCTGAATTTTTTTCCGTGTTTCAGTGCATTTCTTGCACATCATTGCCACCTGTATTGCCGTATGTGTTCTAATATTTCCTTGAACCTCTTCTCGTTGAGGGGTTATGCATGTGGGGCATGTGTGTACGGGGGCACCTGTCAGATGAACTTGGCACTGCAATGGAACAACGTCTACATGTTCTTCAGAATCGTTGTGCTGTTCCCCGATGGTGAACGCATTTTCGCCTACCTCAACCTCTTCTATCTCTTCATCGAACTGTCCTGAAGCACATTCATTTTTGTTAGCGTGTTCGTGCTGTTTGATTCCTCTTAACAACTAAAATTGAGTAAATGGTAAATTTTAAGAAACTAATATATAGTTTGTTAAAAAACTTTATTGAAAAAATTACGAAAACCTTGAATCTGAGAATGATGAGAGTCATTTTCATAGAGACTGTACATAGATAAAGCTCAAAGGTATATTTTATACTCACAGTTCTTCTGTTTCTTGCCACCTTTGAAGACGATTCACTAAATGCCTGGCTTCGTCCTCGTGTGTCGAATACAGTTGGAATACCATCCTTTTTTAAAGTCCTCTTCGTTTTGGAACTGTCAAAACCAGGAAGCTCTAAAGCAAACGGTTTTTCATAGCAAGAGCGCTCAAAATGATCTGAGCACAGGTAAGGGCCGATCGAGTAGGCTTGGTGATTGAAATTGGCACGATGTCTTCTGACGAAACGAATCCATTGCCTTCGCAAATCGAGGTTTTTACTTGGAAAACGGTGCATACTAATACCTGGCGTCAAACTACTGTTTGTACAGCTCTCCCCATTTGGTAATCCGGCAACGCAATATTGCCCCCCACGTTTCACTTTTTTGTTTGTCGGCCTTGTAGATTCTTGCATACTTATTGATTTGAATTCGAAATCTTGTTTCAAATCTCGTTGTTTTGAGCTGATGTTCTGAACTGAAAACTGCCTGAAAGCATCTTACGCCCCTATTTTATACTTTTGTGAACTCAAAAGGTTTTTTCAATTATTAAAAAGTCGGAAATCTCAATACTCAACGCACATAATCATGCATACAAAGATTAGTATGGAAGTTGAGGGACGTGACGGCATTATTGTGCAAGCTATTGGCAAACGTAAATCCTCCAAAAATTACCTTTACGAAATTTCCTGAATACGTATTCAACAGTTATTCAAAAAAGCTGATAATTTGTCACAGAAGTAAACAACAGGAAATTATTGCAAGCGGATTTCATTTCGCACTTAACGTGTAGGTGGCAATCTAACACAACAAAGCACGCTTATTCTGTCCAACATCTGACGTCACAGACTTCTGGCGCCAAATTTCTGACCGCGTTCAAATTCTGCCATCGAAGTATGCGAAATTCCGAATTTAAAACCGAATATTTCATGAACTAGATATCGTATCGAAAAAAGGAAAAAAGTTTTGAAATCTGCGCGTTAAACTTGGTTGAAATAAACCTAATATTATTTTCGTGTCATATCCTCTTTAACTTTGAACACAGTATTCAAAATGCATTTCAATAGATGTCGGTGATATTGAAATTTGACAGATTTAAAACTATTATCGCAAGTTTGAATTTAAAACAAACTTTATTCAGTTTATATCTATTGTTGATGTTATCATAAACAAAGTCTGTTTTATGTATAGCCAACATATCTAAACTTTTTGACTTGACATTCAATTTATCTAAGTATATTTTATGAACAGTAGAGCCTCAAAGTTTCAAAAAATCAAGAACAGTCAGCATGAACCCAATTTTTCTAGTTCTTTTAAAGAAGGGTGTTGCTAAGATTATTCAATAGCCATTCTGCCAGGGATGCCTGAGAGGGGGGTGGGGGGGGTCAACCACCACTGTTGCCTTTTGATAGTAGGGGCAAGGGGGGCTAAAATGCCCTTTTTACAGAAGTGACGCCGGCCTTTTGTTTCATATGAAAGAGATTCAAATGAAATCCTGACTGTAGTGCCTTATTTCTGACGAAATTTCTCAAATCTTGTAAATAAATTTCTTATACCAAAATTTAGTCATTTTTAAGATACCGACAAAAGATCGAAAGAAAATGACAGTTACGAAAGAACTGTTGGTAGCTAGGAATTAATTTTCAAATGCCCTTTTTCTCAAGCCCGCCCCCCTTGCCCCTTGGTCGTTCCGGCGTCCCTGCATTCTAGTGAAACTAAAGTGGGGTCGAGGCTTGGTCTAAGGAGGCCCAAGGAGAATACGCCCCTGTGTAACAAGCCTGACAAGTCTTCACGGGGGAGGACAGGTAAATTCGGCAAGGACAGCAGAATTTGTCTTGGACCGGCAGGGGATTGATTGTCTTGCGAAAGAGGGAACATTATACCGACTAGGGACAAAAATCCAGCTTCCAGGGGGCTTGGAAAAATGGGAAAATAAACAAGGAAGTCAACGACATCACTTGTGTTATAATCCGTACATAAATGCCAGTGTGATCCGTTTATTGTTTTATTTTGTTTGGCTAGAATGGAGATTTGTATCCGAATTGTTTTTGCATTTAAATAAAGCCCATTATTGCCTTTAGCTTTGATCATTGTCTGCCCGGCCTGCGATCGATAAAGGAGCCTTCCTGCTCGCTGTGGCCCAATTTCGGTTTTTTATACTGTTTTCGTCAAAATTTCAACAGCTGTTATAGCAAACAATACCAAATTGTGGTGTCGAATTGTGGTAAATATCGCCTGTTATCTGATTTATCACCACGTCTATCCAGGAGTGCGCTCATTTTGTGTCCACCAAGTCAACATCGGTGCGCGACGGCCTAGAAGTATTTCCGCGTTTCAGGATGTCTGTAGAACGCTATGTTATGAAGGCGAGTTCTGAAAAGGCTCACCTCGGATCTAAATTCACATTAACGTTAATTCCATCAACAGAGACAAACAGAGCAAAGGGTAATACTGACGAGAATTTTAACTTCAAGCCCGACAAGGAAGACAATGAGACAAACGAAACTGCTGAAACAAAGCAAGAGGTCGATAACAATAATCGTTCCGAAGTTGATGAAAAATTTCTCACTTTGTTCAAAGGAGTTGCAGGGGAAGACCTTGAGATCGATGCATTTGAACTGCACAAATTGCTGGGTGCAGTATTCAAAAGGGATTTTGGCGAGGTGAAAGATTTCAGTATTGAGTGTTGTAGAAGCTTGATTGTAATGGTGGACAGAGATCGATCAGGGAAGCTCGACTTTGCTCAGTTTAAAGATCTGTTCCAGTGGCTTATGGAGAAGAGAAAAGTGTATAAAAAATACGAGAGCAATCAGAGCTGGGATATGGATGCAGCAGACCTGAAGGACGTGATCGCAAGCCTAGGATTCGAAATATGCGAGGAGACTATCAATTTGCTGGCAGTGAAGTATCGCAACAGAAGACAGAGAATAAACTTTGATGATTTTTTACAGATTTGTGCCCGTGTCCAGTCTTGTCATGATAGCTACCGCTCTTATCAGACAGTTGGGGACACGTTTGACGAGTTCGCAATGCACGTTATTTATACATAGCTTATGATCGTTGATAAAAATAGTTTTTCCCATCATAAGTATTAGCCCCTGAAACTGGAAGCCAGTTACCGAATGCTCGTTCAAGCGATAGATTCTGTCACAGCATGAGTTAGTTTTCAAAATAGATTTTTTAAAGAAATGGAGATAAACCGAAAAGCGTTGGATATCAATTCCTTTCGTTTTTGTAAGAATGCATTGCCCTTCAGCCCAAATGACATCACCCGATTTTCTAGCAGTTAGAAAGTATGAAATATTGGTGTTGTTAGACAAAAGTCTTTCAACAGGAAGACTTTGTTTAGACGAAGGCACGTCCGGTTTTTTCAGTAGAAGAAGCCGGCAAATGAAAAAAATCAAAGAATCAAAAAATTTTATTTCCCCTGACATACGTTATATGAAAAACAGCCTTTGAAAACAATAAATACGTACGACTCAATCAAGAGGAAATGAAAACCCCCTTCTGTTGTTATTTGTGTTGTTTTGTTCATCATCAACAGAAAACTTCTTTTATTTTACGCCTAAATGTTCTAAATAATTTAAGTAGAAATCGGCTACAGTTATGTGGTTATGTTGGTAATTGTGAAAAACTGCCGAAACCTTGGATTGTTTTCTTCTTTGTTTATAAAATCATCTGATGTTTTCTTATTTTCAGTTGCAAACCTATCTTCCTAGAGCATACAGTATGCAGAAAAAAGCCTTAGTTTTAGGTGATGCAAACTGTTAGAGCAGTTAGGCAAGCAATAACAAAAAGAAAAATTGACTTTCGATTTGATAAAGATGCTATTTGTTATCTTGTACAGAACCATTTTTTTCGAGAATCATCTTTATAAAAGCCTTTTTGTATCGACTTCTCGTTAATGTCTAACCATGGTTTTAGAGGGCAAAAAAGTATAAGAAAAATTTCTCTCAAGTTGGTCATATGACTCTCTGTCGAAGTGACTGGGGTCCATTTCGTATATGAGAATCGTTAACCGATCTTTCGAGACAATATTCTGTGACTTGATATAACGATGAATAGTCGATTCAACATTGCCACCATAAGCTGTCGCGTTACTCGCCTCGACTGCTCTGACTGGCACCTTAAAAGCCATTTTTAGGTGTCAGTTAACAGCCAAAAGTCTCTAATTGACTTCATAAAACAGTAAGAATTTAATGCAATCTAGAATGTGATTGTTTGAATTTACAGCCACGTGAATAAATCATTTCAGAAAGGCTACAATGAGCCCATTCGATGACCTGACCAGGGCTACTTTGGGTAAAACGGTTTACATATTAATCAAAAGCTCAAAAGGTTAGTTACTATTCAGAAAAGAAGCCGTAATTACTAGCATGGGCGCCCCCGACGTCTTTTTGTTCGTTAGTTGACGAGATAGTTCATTCCCAAAATCATGTAACAATTTGATATACAGGCTATTTTGCCTTTTCTTCAGTTTGTGTTTCCCTGTTGCTCGTTTAACGAGTGTCTTGTCTACCCCCAGTCTCCCTAACCCTGTGTCTATTGCTTGTCGGGCCTAGACACCGCTGTTGACTTGGACATGCAAAGAATCTGTGTTTTCTGCCACTCTAATTGTTTCCCGAGCGTAAATTTACGAAATTCCTTTTTTACGAATAGATTAAGCTAATAAGAACTAGCAATAAGGGCAGGAACAAAAAGGGAGAGAAGCCATTCCTGGCACATAGCCCTATTATTAGTCATTGCACCAGAGGACACATAGAGAGACATCATATACTGTATATGTTTGATAATCCTGAAATATACTTGTTGGAGCCCCAGTTGACGATTTCTAATTAATTCGTCCTTTTCCGAGGGTGTTTCACTGCCTTTTGACGAATGATTTTTCGTATTTTCTTTTTCCTGGAGTGAAAATGGCTAAAACTAAATGATTCAGGAAATGTTTTAAGCTGTATGGTAAACTGTTGTTGAAAATCGATATTGCAGATAAACCGAAAGAGTTTTCATATGTTTCCGTTGCTTTTACAATAAAAGCTCGATAAAATGTCGGATTAGATTGCATTTTATATGGATTCCTGGGTTTAGAATCGCTTCAACTGCACCTTATATGCTTGAAGCAAGAATTTTGATGAAGGATCTTTAAGATTTTTGTGATTGGAAGTTTTTAAGGCAATGTCAATAAAAGTAGAAAGCTAAAACAAGAACAAAAAACTGTCTTGATGGTTTAAATTTCCAGCTCACCACCTGCTTATTTTCACGTAATAAAAAAATGATTTGTAAAGCAATTTTTTATGTATAATTTTGTGTACTAAATCGCTTTTACACTGAACGACATGCAGCGCGTAATGACACATTGTTCACTAGATTATACTTTTGCCCCCTTGTTTCTTTCGTCTTGTTGTTGTCTGATATTTTTATGGTTTTTTTACAGGCAAGACATTTGCATCAAAAGGTCAGACGGTTATTGTGCACTACACAGGTAAAGTCTATTGGATGCTGGAATCGTTTTTATCGTAAACGTAAGAACCGGAGGCACAGGGGCATGTTCTCCCACTTTTCAGACATAAAGATGGAGTGCCTATTTCCAACTTTCGGACTATCACTTTTTGCCAACATGTGCCCCACAAAGAACTTCCTTCCTCTATGGTTTTATCCTTTTATGTGCAATTTAACACAACATCTTTTGCAAAGGCTTCCAAGAGCATTCACTCCTTGTTTGTAATTTGAAAGTAGGCTTTTGACATATGATACTTGGATAAGTTAAGAACAGACGGCTGAAAAGTGCCAAAAATGAATTGTTAAAACTGGTGTCTTCATGGGCGTTTTCCAAATGGCTTGTCGATTCTGTATGCGAGAACTTAGCCAACTTCTTTTCATCAAATGGTCTTTGCATATCTTCGATGAGACTGTTGAAACCTCGATTGTATTATTCACAAAAGGGAATTTAAACAAGCAAGGAAAGTTTTAGTTACATAGTTGACAGAAAAGCTTACCTTATTGGCGTTTGTTTGCAGGTCGTTTGACTGACGGCACCAAATTTGACTCATCTAAAGATAGAGGGAAGCCATTTACATTTAAACTCGGAATGGGACAAGTCATTAAAGGTATGCATTACGTCAATGGCTTACATAGAATACATAGAACCACCAATTATTTTCTGTTTATATTTGGGATCTCGGGTATTCTATTATCTAAAGCAAATCATCGAATCGAGATAAGAGACGGGTGAGAGACAGATAAAAGACGGGTAAGAGACATATAAGAGACGGGTAAGAGACAAGTAAAAGACAGGAAGATATCCCCCCCCTCACCCATCTGAAATGAAAAGAAAATAAAGATTTAACTTAAGGATAGTATAATTTTGCAATCCAGCGTAGGTCCAATTTGCCACTGACATTCCATACACTCATTTCTTATAAAAATCCTAGCCTCGGATTAGCTCTCAGTTTCTTTTTTTGTTGATTTCAGCTAAAATTCCCTTAAAGGTTTCTTAATTGCCAAATATTAAATAGCTACTTTTAGAAGCAAAAAACATAACACGAGATAACATAAAATAGAACACCAGTCACGAAAAGTTGTTCTTCTTATGTCCTTCCAGAATAATTTCCACCCCATCTTTAAAAGGAGGATTTTCGAGCAGTTTCTAAAGGTTGCGGGATCATTTCTATTGTTTCTTAGTTATTATGTCATCTAAAGGCTCGGTTTCTTTTAGAAGAATTCTTATAAAGACATGAGTCTTTGCCAATAATAAACACCTGAATCCTGGTGTCTCACTGAAGTGACCACTGTAAAAGAATTGGAAGTTGAAAGCTGGTGGTGTTTCCCTTGTTCTAATACTAAAAATCCAATTGGTCAAAAAGATGATTTAACTAGTAAAGGAATTTTACAAGGCAGTGCAAGAGAAAACTTGGTTTTAATGTTGCTGCTGTTGTTTTCATGTGTTGCAATGCAGTGTTGTGATGCAGTGTTGTGCGTGGAACGCAAGGCTCGTTGCCCTGTAATATATATTTGTATGGGATACAAGGTCACATGCTCTGTCTTAGCATCCATATTAAACGTATGTATTAGCATCCATATACCTCAAATTATTCTGTATCGAAAAGTATATAAGTATTCAATGGCCACAGTTAGGAGACAACTGCCAGGGAAAAGTGGTTGAATTAATCTATCAGAGTCGGTACCACGCAGAAGGAAGCATGAACATGACCCCAAAGAGTTTCATTTGTCCCCCCCCCCATATTATATCAAGAATCTGTTTTAGCCTCTCTGACTTCAAAGAGTTTCATATCTGGGCCTAGGCTGTATTTTATGCTTAAAATCACCAATAATATGAAATTTTATATTTTCTTTCAGGTTGGGATGAAGGCGTGGCCAAGGTGAGTTTGCAATTTTCCGTTTTCAGATTAGGGGGACGACCTTAATTATTAGTCCAAATTTTACCCCGTACCAGGAAATTTCCCGAGGACTATCCTATCTAGCAAGCTGGCGTCGACGTGATGATGAGGCATCTCTTTAAGGATTTTTTTTCGAAGGCTATGTTTACACAGTCGTTCAACGTTGTTCCATATCAAATACCTCTTACTTCTATCCCTTGACGTTCATTGGTGTCGAAAAATTGATATATGAAAGCAATTCTCAAAATATCTTGAAAGGCCTATGAAATGTGAAACCCATCGTAGTTTCCCAACCGAATAATGCTAAAGATCCTTTAATCTACAATAAGTACAACCTGTAGCTGTTTTTTATTCCCCGTAAAATTCATTTTATTTTTGGTTACGATTATATTAACTACGTTATGCTCTTTTTTAGATGTCGGTTGGCGAACAATCAAAATTGACTTGCTCCCCAGATTATGCGTACGGACCAAGGGGCTATCCTGGAGTGTATCCTTCATACAGCAAATTGTTTATTCCTTATCTTTTAATCCTTAGTCTCTTCGCAATATGATGACTAGCAAGTTTACAGTTATCTTTGTTTCAATTTCTTTTCAATTTTTATTTCTTATATATGCTGATTTCTATGGGCTAGATTTAATATAAATTTAAATGTATTTTAGTCTTCAAAATTGTAAATAACCCCGAACCCACTGCAAGCAAATAACGATAAAGTCTATGGCATTTGAGAATCCAATGTAGCGCTTTTTGTAGACACCTTCGCAATGAAGTGATTAGGGAAAGTGGATTCTCGTATAAGAAGTCGGGTCATATGGATTAGATGCTGATAAGGTTAAAGGGAGGCAGGCTTAGAAGTTTAAGTGAGAATCAGGTTCAGGTCTAGGACCTTTCGTTCAACGTGCTTCGGTTTTCCACTAAACGTAACTGTAGTAAAAAGCCCAGTCAAAGACGTCAATCAAAAAATGTTTTGTTTTGGCTTGTTTTCAATTAATTTAGAACCAAGAACAAATTAAGATGGGATCGTATATATGGTCTTGCCCTCCTTTTTTAGCAATCGGCGAAGAGAAGTATTTACATGCTCAGAATTGAGCAACATAATCGGTAGACTTTTGTGACGTCATCATCTTACAATTTGTATTGTTCATACTTTGTGTCTCTCCAAGTCATTATTTTACAAGACTCTGTTTGCTCTGATAATAGTTTTGCGAGAACCGCTTTAAACCTGGTTTACATTTGGTAGCTGAAGTCTTCGAGGTCTCTGGAGCGGCAGGCTTGCAGGACCAGCGGTCCAAAAGTCTAAATGGGAACAGATTATAGTGTCGTTCAGTCACTCTACCAACTCCAACGACTTCTCTGCTGAAACAGAATCATTTCCTATCCCAGCGACCATTAAAACCCAATAAAACCCAATGTGAACCAGGCTTTATCTTCTAGCTTAGCAAATTCAACACTTTCCTTAACAACTTTGAAGTATTCCACCGAATGCAACTCTGGTTTTTGATGTAGAATTTATTGGAATTCAGTAACACTCTGAAGGACAGTGTTTTAGCTTTACGTTTGAAGTACGACCAAGAATGGGAATCTCGCTTAAACTGCGTGGAATAGGAATACAACGCACTCGTGAACGATTTATTGTCGAAGAACATTGACAATTAGCGTAAACTGTAACAATCTGACCTCAATTTTTCTGTCACTCTTTTTGTTTGCTTTCATTACAAAAATGCTTTTCAGTTTTTGGCGTTTTTCTGTGTGACTTTGTCTTCTGTACCGAAAATGTTCCTCAGTCTCCAACTTGATCCTTTCTCACAACAAGAGAGGTTCATGTCAATTTTTACTTTCATTTTTGACGTCGCTCTTGATATTTCTTGTTTTTGATGGCCTCGACTGTGACCTCTATTTTCTCGAAGGGTCTGAATGTTGCCACAAAGCATATTATTCAACTGAGTCACTAAAGCGATATTTCAGGAAAGTTCGGGTTTCTGTGTTCTGGTATAAATATGCAAAATAGACTTGCAATATTAGCAAAAAATAGCTGATACATTGGAACGAAAAAGGAATTCGCGTGCTATATCTTTATTTTATACGCGCTGGTGACCTAAACCCCTACCCCCCTGGGGTCCATGTTGGTTAAGGTGGTTACGGAATAGGAGGGGTTACTATGTTGGTTACCAATCCAGTCACAACATTGATTTGAGGAGAATGGGGCTGATGATTTGTAAGTAGCTTTTTTGCAAGCATTTTTTTTGCCAAGATTGTAGCTTCGAGGGGAATCTGATTTCAAATTCTTGATTTCTGATTGGACAATAATGAAAAATTAAAGCCAATTGAACATTTATAGCCTATAGAGTACCGAAGTGATGACGTCATAAAAATATATTTTCAAAATTTCTGAATTTTGATCCCAGAACCTAATAGAGCATCATGAAATACCTCTAAATCTGCAAAATCAGTAGAAGGTATTACGAATGGGCTGAGATATGGCCACATTAGCACAGGCTTTTGCCCCCATCAAACCTCTGTAATTTGGTCTTGACAAGTCTTGGTTCATAACTTTATGAACCAGGCCAAAATAACAGTAATCCGTTAGCAAACTTCAGACCTTCTATTGGCCATATCTCGCCCAATTTGGAACATATCTAGCTAATTTTGCACATTGAGAGGTATTTTATGCCGTTTTTTCAGATTGTATGGCCAAATTCAAGAAATTCTAAAAAAATATTTTTATAATGACGTCATACTTCGGTACTCTATAATGTTGGGGGATGGCCAAAGACCTTTTTATCAAGTGAATCTACAGGATCTTGCTAATGATACTGACAATGGCCACATTTTATCACATTAAAGGATGGCAACCACTGCTCAAGCTTCTCGTTGTGCTTGCTTTCGCTTAATTTTGGTATTCAAACCTCCGAAGGCAGATAATACGTTTAATTAGCAGTAGATGTGTTTAATGACCAGAATTTGGAAGGCATAGTTGACACATACTTGAAAAGAAAGTGAAACGCATCTTTAGCGAAATATATACTGATGCTGTACACTCTTTCATAAGTACCAGAACTTTCAAGTTAGGGATCTGGGACACAGGCTACAGAACATCGAAGTTCTAGCCTGTGATGGTCTGTGACGCAGGCTACGAAGTTCAGGCTGTTTCTGATTTTCTTTGAAATCTCAAGCTGGATTGTTTTTAATTTGTACTTTAAATATTAGGGTGTAAACAGTGAAATTGCTAGCTAATGCACTCGAAAGAGGTGTTCAGGCCTCGTTGGCAAAATAGTGATTAAGACCTCCTTTATTTGCCGACAGGCTTGAAAATTCACCGAAAAGCACCCCTAGATGGCAACAAATTCCTTGTTTTTGAGATGAAACATTTCTAAATTTGTTTTTATCTTTTGACCGATTTTGAGGCTCATTATATTTGAAGACTGGTAGTTTCAAGCGTATATTGAATAACTGAAAGTTGCCTGTAAATGTAATTGGAAACCACGTTCTACCGCAACGGTCAGGCTGATTCCGCAAAAGAGATAAGGTTCGGGAGAGCAGGGCTTTGTAAAGAAAAATGAAAGTTCTCGCTCAGGGGGCTCAACACTGCTGTGTCCGTACATGAAACTCTTGGAGGGGGGTTCATGACAATACACAAACGTTCACCAAATGTCTTTATGGCAAACAAGAGCTAAAGGCTTATCTAAAATTCCTCATAAAAAGCCCCTCCCCCTAATATTCGCTTTTGTCCATGCCTTGTCTGAAGACAGTAAACGTCTAGAATATATTTATGATTCTCATTGCAGCCAACAAACGTTCAGGAAACAAGTAAAACAACTTCTTAATACTCAAAAAGTAATGTTTAACTGAAAAAATTGAAACTTAAGATTAGTTCTATGCGCCAGAAGTAAATCTGCAAGGAAAATGGGCTATCAAGAGGCTTTTATATGACAATAGTAACATCCTATCTGATTGTAACAGGCATATCTCCAGTTCTCAAGACAGCAAGGAAGATTGAAAGTTTCTGTTACATTTTCGGGGATCAAATTAGGAAAATCTGAAATACAATGGTGCTCCACAATGCTCCTGCTAAGGACCTCTCCTGTTTTTTCTTTTGATGGGCGACCGACAGCTGTTGCTAAACTACTCTGCCGAATTATTAGGGGTTCAAACGTGGATTTGGGGAGACTGAAGGGGAAAAATGTACGAGTTAATGAAATTCGACTTATGGGATGCTCGGGTTATCAAGATCATGCTTTACTTTTACCGGGAAAATGTTTTACAGTAGAAACCCGCATTAAAGAACCTGTTTTTTATAAGAACCTTGAGGCTGAAATCTAATCTTTTAAACCCCTTTAATAAAAACACCTAAGAAGCTGAAACTTGGAAAGGTTCTTAAATTTATATATAAGAAAAGGGTTTTTTAGAATGGTATTCTTATACCATATTCACACTAGGTATGATGCATTCTAAATAAACAACCCAACAGGAAAAATGAATTTGATTGGTTGAAATTTAACATGAAGAATATAGCTGGTTCAACTGTGTCGGTGCGAGTTTTTACCCTGGAAAACATTGATAATATGTGTGAGGCCTGTATGTGTATAAGAACCTTGTTAAGAACATTACAGGTTTGAATTTAGCATAGCAGACTGTTAATTAAGAACCTATTCAGGCTACTGTATTGAGCCTCTCATGTCAGAAAACTTTTTCAGCTTTTTTCTTTAAAGGTGTTCTTAATTGATACTTTAAAGTAAAATGAAAAATTTATGTAATATTCAGATACTTCAGTATGGTTGAAATAAAATATTTAGACCAATGTGAGTTCGTGGGACATTTGAATGAAATTAAAGGAAGCGGCTGCGTTGCTGGTAGTCAGCGGTAATTGCCTTGAAAAAACCAAACAGTAAAAAGCTGGTTTGAATAGAAAAAGATTTATTGCTTGAAAATGGCCTTTCGGGATCTATTTTACATTGGTTTATGTTTTTCTAAGGATAGATGTAAACACATTATTTGTTTTAAAGCTATAAGATCCTGCGAAAACACCTGCTTTTTTAACGTGAGAATGCTTTTACTCGGGCGTATTGTATCCTAGTACCCATTGTTGAACAAGACTGAATTTGCTAGAAGGACCTAGTTCCCGTCTAATATCTTACGTTTATTTTGCTTTTGGGCCTCGTGCCTTGCTATAGACTTACAGTTACCTACTTGCATCAACAAACTTGCATTTTTGAGTAAAATTGATGTATGTTTTTATGGTAATTTATGCTAAATTATCTAAAAGTCACAACTGACAAACGAAAATGAATGTGGGTTACTCAAATTTTGTTCGGATTTAGAGATATCCGTTCTGCATGATTCTGTAGGTCGATTGCAAACAGAAAGATAGCCACTTTGTTTTATTTCATTCACTATGTTTTCCGCAAGTAATCCAAGATAGAGTCATAACAAATAGTCACGGTAAGATAAAACACGGAACAAGAATTTTCGCCCTGCAATCATTTTAAGGCTCTTTATATCACCCGTCTGGTGATAAAATACACCAAATTTATGGACTATTGGTGCGCAAAACCCTTTTTAACAGGGGTCTCAAGTGTGACGTCACAAAAAACTACTTTTAGAATTTTCGAATTTTGACCACATAACATGAAAGAACACTATAAAATACTCCCAAAAAAGCAAAATCAGTTAAAATTGTAAAAAATTGGGTGAGTTATGGCCAATAGAAGATTTGAAGTTTGCTAACGGATCACTGTTGTTTTACCCTGGGTGCCAGAGCCTCAGAGAGTCAAAGGATGAAGAACGGGGGAAAAGAAATGCGAAGGAGAGTCCATCCTCCTTCGCATTTCCTTTCTCTCTGAGGCTCTGGCACCCAGGGTACTGTTATTTTAGCTCAGTTCATAAAGTTATGAACTGAGACCAAATTGCAAAGGTTTGATGGGGCGCGAGCTTGTGCTCATCTGGACATATCTCAGCCAATTCGTAATATATTTAGCTGATTTTGTGGATTTAGAGGTATTTCATGATGCTCTTTCAGGAAATGGATGACAATTTCAAAAATTCTAAAAATATATTTTTGTGACATCATCACTTGACAACTCTATTTATCAAGGATCTGAAAAGATGCATTCTAGACCATCATAACAAACATCTTCATACCCTAAATAAAATTAGCTCTTATTCAAATAACGAGGAATAATTTTATTTTCTATTTTCTATATAGGTTTCAGCGCAGCACAAACAACACACTAAATTAGGAAAATGAAGTAACAAGGATCTATTTAGGTGCGAGGATGGCTCAGTTGTTAGGATCGATGGCAACAGATTCAAATATCTGTTTTCGAGTCACTGACATACCAAACTGTCACTTAGAATGAGGAGAGATGCCAGTCACTTCGAGTGGAAGAACTTGGACACTGCCTGTTAAGAATAGCTTCCAATTGTCCTAAAAACAACATTCGGAAGCCAGTTTGTGACAAATACAAAAAGAATTGCAAAATGATAACATGCACGTCAATTTAGTAAGGAAGTTATAAAGGGCAACTATTGTAGGAAAATATACTCTAAACAACGAGAAAAGGTTAATTTAGGCTAAAGTCCAAAATAGCTTAGGTTCTACACAATTTTCTAGCGTATTCACCAGAAGTTTGAATCATCGCTGAGCAGTTTGAGCATGCGCAATAGTGATAGAGTTCAATGCATATTCTCCTTGGCTACAATGACGGGGGAGGGTGGCTTTTTACCTTCCAAT